TTCTGGCTAGCATTTTTAAGGGGTTTCAGTGGGACTCAGAAACCTATACATCCTTAAAAAAGTAGGCACTGTAAGGACAGGGAGGCTAAATCCCATCTCTTATTTCAGCAGGCGGGCTCCTGAGGCCCCGGGCTTCAGGCTGGTGCTATAGCACGGCTGGCGGGACCTGCCAGTCCTCGGGGGGCTCAGAGGCCAGGGCCCAGAGACATTGAACAAACCCTGTGCTGCCTCCTGCTCTTAGGTGCAAACCCCCATGGCAGGGACGGGCCAGCAAGGAGCCCCAGCAGGGTCTTTCCTCAGCGAGGAGAAGCATGGCGTCCGAGGCACTTCTTCCAGCACGGGCGAGGAGCCAGGGGCTCCTGTGGTTGCTCTCTAGCAGGTCACGTCCCCTGCTGTGGAAGTTAAAATGCCCACAGGTTTTCATTTAACAGGTGCCTGTCAATAAAAGGTGTGACGGCGAGCCGCACGTGGGGCCCTGCCGCCCAGGAGGGATTATGGGGAAAGGCACAAGGGCTCCCGGCAGAGGAGGGATGCGCTGGCCACTGCACAGCTCTGCAAGGGCTCTGGGAAGAGCCCGGAGGTCAGCGAGCTGGCTCAGGGGCGCTCCTTGTTAGCAGGAGGAGGGAGCCCCGTTAATTAGATTCCTGCAGCTCTGCAGCCGTGCACAGGCTCCGGTTGCCTCTCCTCACCTCCTTCCACTTCTTTCCAGGGTGCGTTGTTACTTTCCCTGCCTCGGGGCTGCCTCTCCCCTTGGTGCAGGGCCCTATCCTGGCTCACAGGTGTCTTGGCAGCAGCTCGGGGCTTGCTGTCCCCCTCGGTGGGTCTGGCCAGCAGCCTCGAAGGTGCCAGCCTGAGCACAGAGCCACGCAGAGCCGCCAGCCCACAGCTCCGGGTCAGCAATGAACTCCCGCAATAGGAGTCCTCAGTTTCTTTCTCCATGGCTTGTTCCCTCCTAAGGCAGCTCAGATATTTAAAGAGCACGGGGCTGAGTCTCGATATCCGAGACAGCTGCACCTTTCAGCATCCCACGGCAGGAGCAGGACAGTGTTTTCTCAGTCCCTGCCCACAACAGCTGTGGGAGCCTCTCACCGACAACATTTTCACACCTGGAAAATGAAATGCAATCTAAACAGCTGTACGCTTCAGCCGGCTCTTAGCATCAGCCCCCTCGAGACCAGAAGTGAGGAGCGATCGCCAGCGTGGGGCCTTCTGTCCTCAGCTGCAGGCGCCTGTGCCCGGGAGGTGGCGACAGTCCCCTTCGCACACCGCACATTGTACACCATACACCGCACACTGTACACCGCACACCCCTGCCTGAAGATACAGAGATGCCTGAGGGTCAGGAACTAAAGTGCCCCTCCAGTGTGCAGCACAGAAGGGGAGCCACGACCGATAGACGTGCATCTGGCTAAAGGTGCTTTAGGTTGTTACAACTTATTTTTCTTCTATTGGAATAACCTATGCCTGTACAACAGCACTTACCATGGCGTAGTGTAAACAGCATAATATTTGGATGAAAA